GTACAAGATTCCCAAATCATCGCTTTGCCTGTAAAGTTAACAATATTCTCATTCTTTAATGCAGGGAGGGAGGGAGAGAGAGAGGGAGAGGGAGAGAGAATATCATACCATTCATCCCCTGTCCTGTGATGCGGAGCAAATTTAATCCTGTAAGCCACAGGGTCCATCTTTCCATCCTCCAGGGTGGTCTTCATCCTAAGGGTGGCCTTCCCCTCATCTATCTTCCCCTTCTTCATGTCCTGAAATACAGGGTTCAGATAAAAATACTTATACTTCATTGAAATAAAAACCGGCCTGGTAATGACATATTTTCATAGCTTTCACTTTCACTTATTTTCATAGCTTTCAATTTCAATTTTTACACCCCATTTCCATAGATTAGATTGACCTACCTTAGATCGACCTAACTCCCTGGGGGTTCACGCTAAATAACTGTCAGCCGGGGGGACATGAAAGTTAATTACCCTCTTAAAGCTTGTAGTAGGCGGGACGGACATTTAAGTCGGATTATCTGAAAGTAATCTAGCGAGACTCCCTGTGGGGATAGTTCGATCAAAAATCTATGGGAATGGAGCCTTAGTCTGGAAGATCAGTTTTAATAGCTATAAAGTCGTTTACTTGATTGGTAAATTTATTGAATAGAACATCTTTTCTCTTCTTATTTTGTCACAATTCTATGAGTTTTTTTTTTTCAGTGCTCATTTAATTTTTAGTCAATTAACAAAAATCTTTTTCTTTACAAAAATTTCCCATACAAAATAACTACCTTCAGCAAGAGAACATTTTTAATGCAACTATGCATTTTTTAAGTAACGCAAAAAAGAAAACATAAAAAAAGGCCCCACAAAATGTGCCTTTCAGATCGCTTTTCTAAATCAATTTGTACAAAAGGGATTCTCAGACACAGCTACAAGTCAACTGATCTGCTATCATTTTCTTTTGCAGGAATTACTGTTGCACACAATTGAGAGTGTTGCCATAGTAATACATAACAACAACCCACTGTGTGTGCCTTCAAGATAGAACAATTTCATAAATCTCATCTTCATGGTCCCTTTTTTGAATGTTGGCCATTTTCCAGTATCAAAAATGAAGACCAACTGTGCTATTCAAGCATTGTTTAATGTACATTTTTTCCTAACTTAATTATTTTTATTCAGGTCTTTGCACGTTAATCTTGTTTCCTTTCAAAGACTTATACATTAAGTATTAAGCATTGTCAATGGAAATGAAAAAAAAAAAAAGGAAATGAACACGCTCATGATTTCCTGATAATACAAGAAATCTTCCAGGGCTGGGAAAAATGGAGAAAAAGTGTTCATCGCAGCTCTTAAAATAAAACAAACCTCAAAGAGTATCAGAGACTCCTCAATGGGCCGGTCTCTCCATGGCGACGGTGGAGGGTTGATTCCTTTAATCTCCTCCACTGTTTGGTGGCAAACGTATGCATGTCCGCGCTTTATCAGTTCCACGGCCCACTCGTACAGTTGCTGGAAGTTGTCCGACGCATGGGTCACTTGGTAAGGAGAGTAACCTGAAAAGAAAGGGAAAAACATTGATTTTATGGTTTGGTATTCTAAAACTTTACATTCAATACGAACGATACTCCTTAAATTTGTGACATGAAAATAAAGGAAAAAAAGTGATGTCAAGGTTGGTAAATTTTTCTAAAAGTTCATTTTCATAATCTGATAAATGACCTGCAATTGCACACAGCTGGTAAGTCATTACCACGAAGTAGTATCACATTTCAAACAGGTCTGATGATGAGAAGTTTTTGAAAAGCTAAAATCTGAAGTTGGGCTTTTGACAACATCTTGCAACTACCAGATGCATTTATCAAACAAAAAAAGTTTTTAATGAATTCAAGTTTTAGCAACTGACATTACTGTGCATCTACCCAATACATTCAACATAATTACGACAATATCTTGCATCAACCTAATATTACATTAACTTACCCAGCCAATGTACCATGTCCAAAATTCCCGTGAAAAACTTCTCCTCCTCCTTCTCTGGATTGGTGTCATCATAACGCAAGTAACAAATACCATTGTTTTTCTGAAAGATAAGAAAAAGAATCAAGAAAAAATCCACTATTCAATAAATCACCTCTTAAAGATATCTTCTATGATCATTCTTGAGTAGGCAAATGTTTAATGCTCTACTAATTTTCTAATTTCTAATTTCTGAAGTACATTTAAGTAGGTCTATAGGTTATAAAATTAATTAATCTTTTCCTTAATCTTTTTATTCTAAGATTTTACAAACAAGTCATTTCTCCTGGGGGGCTCTCTAAGGTCTGAATTTTAGATATGTTTAGACACAAATAAAACAGATCAATAAAAGTCCTCTGCTAACATTATATGCATACGTACAAGGGCGTAGCCGAAGTTAAAGTTGATGGCTTTTGCGTGACCAATATGGAGGATTCCATTTGGTTCTGGTGGGAAACGGGTCACTACCTACATGAAAAGGAAAAAACATTAGTTTGACCAAAACTTTACTTGAAACAAAGAAGTTAACCTGGTCCAACAACAGATTGTAGTTTCTTCCATTCTATTTATATAATTTTATCTAAACTTTTTTCCTCTTTTCATCACAATTAAGCACACAAAATGGTCAGAAAAATTATAAAAGATATGTAGCTCCAAAAATTCCTACCTGACCGCCCGTTTCCTCAAGATGCTTCTTCATAAGATTCATTGTGTTTGGTGTTATAACATAGCCGTCTGTTTTGTAATTCTCCCCTAGGAAATGACAAGTGTTAAGCATCATTTTTATTTGTCTTGATTAGATAGAAGGCTTACTGCGGAGTTATTATATAGCATTACATTTGAAATGTTGCTTGCTCCAACTAGAAGAAAACAAAAGCTCCATACAATTTCACCTGTATGCAAATATCCAAAATGGCCATCAATAATATTTACCTGGCTTATGAAACTTAACAGCATCACCCATGATATCCATGAAGGTTTTCACCTCTCCTGTAGCACTCATATCTGAAAGAAAAAAAAAACAATATACATTTGTTTTTATGTGTTGTGTGTCAAAAATATGATCAAAAACACTTCAACAAAAACATAAAAGATTTCAAGATGTTGGCAATTACAACTGGTCACACACACACTATTCAATAACCATAAAAGCTGTAAACTGTCCTCCAAAGTCACACAAAGATAATTGTTATTACTGGAGTTACTTACAATTACTGGAATCCCCCAGAGAATCATCATTTTTTGCTGCCATTGAGGTGGACTTCTGTTCTGCTTTGTTTTTGCCCTTCTTTTCTTTCTTGTCCTGTGAACAAAAAAAAAAAAAAAAAAAAATTAGAGTCAGTCAGAAGAACAGTTTAACACACAAGATCAGAAAACTACTGAATAACACTAGATATTTATTGAAATCACTGTACAGCAAAACTGATTTTCACATCTCATATTTCAATAGTAATATAGACATCATCATTGCAAATATTCAGGAAATTTCATACTTTATCGCTTTATCCAATTTAAACATTTTCATATTTTTACTCAAGGTTGATACTTGGGTGCTACAAAAACTCTGGATAAGATAGAACAAAGATACTACTGGCACAACATAGCCACAGAGGTTAGACAATGGGAATCATCATGCCACCAGCGCCAGGTGGCAAATAAAAAGTTCCTAAAGCGAACTTATTTTTTTGACTCCTTTTACAGCAAATTCCAAGGGGAAAAAAGATTGGAAAGCCAAAGCTGTGCTACCAGACTGTATTAAAAGCCACTTGTCAACTGACAACAATTGTGTCAGTCCCTGGGAGGAAGAAGCCAAAAACCGTTCCATCTTGAAAAGTCGTATTACTAAGATTGTCAGGGATATTGAACAACCTTTGGAGCAAGAAACAACTGAACACAGCAACCATCAAGAAAACAGATCTACTTCTAATGGCGACAAAGAACAGTGGCTGTGCCACTCAACATCCATTCCATTTCCCATAATGTGGAAGATCCTGTGCTGCCCACATTGGGTTCGTTGCCCAGGAGAAAAGTTGCCTTCGTCATATTCTTTTAAAGAGTAACAGTCGCTGAGGAGGAGGATGTTTGGTTACCAAAGCATTATTGTATCAGATCAAGGCAGAGAGCTCTCTTAATGTCATGGTTGAGACTATTTCCAAGATCACAGATTGCAGCAGTGGGGGTGACAAGCCCGTACCACCCACAGGAAAATGGACTCGCAGGAAATTAAAAAATTTTTTTGTAAAGATTTACAGTTAACAATAGCGATAACACGAGAAAACGATTATGGTTTGAAGTCATCAAAGGTTTCAACTCAGGGAAACAAGACCTGCTATTGCCAACATAGAAGTGCAGGCAGAGATACATGAGCTTTTTTTTTTCAGCAACACCAGATTGGAAGTGAAGTTTTAAAACTAAATATGAGGCATGCTGACAGAAAGGGGGGGAAAGGATGCTGACAGATACATCAGCCCTTACACAGTTGTTGGTAAGGGAAAACCTCAAAGTACATACAAATTGCAGACACGTGATAAGTGAAAATAGCCCTGGAAGTGTTAACTCAATTCTCCTCACAGCCCAGGTTCTACTTGAGCTAAATTTCTAGTCATATAAATAAAAGGAACCGGAGGAGACAGGATTATGCCGTAAGTGACTTCTAGTGGTGTAAGACGTGAAGCTGAGAGGTAATTTTTAGCTGGAGGTGAACGGGAGTGAAGACGTGGGCTCAGAGAAAAAAAACAGAATCCTCCAGTTTCTATTATTACCTTCGGTTTTTCCAGATCTTCGGCAGTCTTTGGTCCAAGTAAGTCCAGCAGCTGGATATCAACTTCATTTTTTAAAGCCTTGCCATCCGCCCACTTCAACGTCTCCCTTGCTTCCTCTGAAATTGGCAAATGAAGGGTCACTTTTCAGAAGGTAAAATAACACTTTCCTTTATAGCTAATGATGGATGAAAAATTTCATCAAATCCTAGTTTAAATACTTATGGTAAATGAACTTATTCATCAATTAAAAAAGATACACAGTGCCTTGGCTAAAACAAAAGGAAAGGTCAAAAGATCATATATTTTCTTTATATTTGTACAAAAGTGACTGACAGACCATGCCACACACACACACACAAAGCTAGTCTGCTAATTTCTCTTGCAGAATTTTATGTCGCACAATTCTGACATTGTTGCCATAGTGATAAATGACAACAAAGAACTGGTGTGCTATTAGAATTACATACTAAAAAGTCTTCCAACATGCACTGCAAATACACAAAATGTGAAATACATTTAAATTTCTGATTTCACAGGCACAAGAATCTCTTTCACAAAAACAGCTTTAGTCCAAAAACTGGTTTAAATATTTAAGACTTACACTTTTAGTCTACTTTGACCCAAGATAAACCAGTCATAGTCCAATTAAAAAAAGTATTGTGCCCATTTCGAAAAAAAGAGATATGGCTTAGGTTTCATGACACTCAGCAAAGCAGTGCCAACTCAAATGGAAATGACTCCACTGCAGGCTTGCCCACTGGGCAATGTTGATTCAAACCTTGGTGCAGGACTTACTTAATAAAAGGCCACTGTTGAATCTGTATCTCTCTTCCACCAGTTTGGACTTGTATTTCTTTATCACAGCTTCAACCTGGAATGGGATTAACAAAGGTTGTATGTTGGAGATAGTTGAAATTGGTGCCATTAATCTTCTGTATAAAAAGCTAAATATATACTTTAGTGTGTAACTAATCCAATCCAATACCACTATTATCTCAATCACAGATGATGATTTTTTCAATAGCTGATACCTGTTGTTGAATGGTCCCATGGCAAACTTACAAGGAATTTTTCATGCAAGTTTTCATGCCAGTTTCCCAAGGGCAACTTTTTACATAATAACCAATTGGAAAGGCTAGAGTTCCAAGTCATACTGGCCCGCAAACCCAAGTATGGTAAGTAGATTTTCAAAGAGTGCCTGAAACTAGTTTTTTGTCAAGCCCTGTAAATGCTAACCGCTTTAAATAATTCATAGACTATCATGGATAGGTGTCGCCACTTACTGCTTCCTCAATCTGTTCTGGAGAAACTTCCACCCCGACCCCACACGCTGTTTCAAAAGCTTTAATATCTGTCGGGTCCATTGGATGGTGAAGTAGATAGTCGAGTGCAGCTGAAGTAAAGATGTACAAATGAAGCTGAACTCGCTTTCTCTTTTTTAATAAATGAAGATGGACTCAACTCTGCTTCTAAAAGTAAATTTCTTCTTTTCTTCATTAAGAAAATATTAAGCCAGAAAAATTAAAAGATCAGCAATAATTAAATTGCAAAGGTTCTTTTATCACAAAGTAACGATTAAAGATAATAAAAACATTTCACAGATAATCTGACATCTTCAGAAACTTAACAATCTTATCAATTTACCAAATTGAGGAACTTATTTCAAGATCAGCATCAAAACTCATCATATACTGCAGTTAGAAACAAACACACAATCATACCATTGAGCTGTTGTTCTGTGGCTAATTTCTTCTTAGCAATGTACTCCACCAGTAACCCTTGCTTGTTTCTGATCTGAGACTTCAACTTGGTGGCCACATGGTACAACATGTTACCCATGGTCTTGTCTATGGTACCTGGATTATGTTGACGAGCCTGGATAAAAAAAATAGAGGCCTGAATAAATCCTAAACAAATACATGGTACAACATTTTATTACACATAGTCTTATCTATGGTACCTTGGTTATGCAACCGAGCCTTGATAAAAAAAAATAGAGGCAGTATGGGCCTGAATTATCTTAAACAAATACATGGCACAGCATTTATTTTTTTATTACACACGGTCTTGTTTATAATGCCTAGATAAAAAATAAAGGCAGCGATACTGATGAACACCTAACCTTGACAAATCTCAGGAACCATCAGAAATGATTTATAAAACACAGAATTCCGCTTTTTCACCGAAAATGTCTGCTACTTTCAAAAGTTTGGAAAGTATGGCAGGCCTATGATAATTTTAGTTCCCAAAAAGTCTGAAAATCTGTCGATAGTCAGAAAGATCTTATCCCAGTGAGGAGCCTCAATAAATCTTAAACAAATACATGGCACAGCAATTTTACAACACATAGTCTCAAGTGTCTAAAATGACTGGGCTATGTTAATAAGCCCGGATTTAAAACAAGGGCAAAGCTAAAGATCTACTGCTCTGATGCTTATACTTATAGACTACAGCCAGACAAAAAGATGTATTATAAAAGAAAACAACTTCATTTTCATAAGGAATTGATACTGTTAAATGTTTTGTCTAATGTATGTCACAATAAAACATAAGAGTCAAGTAAATGGCTACATCTCTTCATGTACAACCGAGTTAAGTTGATTAACACCAGTGACTACACTCTGTCTCTCTCTCTCTCTCTCTCTCTCTCTCTCTCTCTAATCATAAGGAAGGGCTACAATCTATTTTTCAGCAATGCTTTTACAAGACCTTTTGTAAGTCTTCATAAATTGTACCTGCTGCTTCCCCCTTTGGTACTCAAAACAAAAGGATTAAAGTGGGGGCATGAGGGGGG